TGCGAAGTCCGAAGAGATGTTGAATGCGTCGGTTTTCTTTCAAAAAACGTCATTCAAACGGTCTGTGGGTTGTTGGAGGACCTTCGGCATAGCATGTCAAGCCACGTTTCGGCTACATTCGGCAGGGCGCAGAGAGAACAGGTGCGCTCGAAGCTCTGAATGCGTCAGCTAGTCTGTGGCTTCTATTAGAAATCCGTATGCGGTCCAAGCTCCTCTTCGCCTCCTCTACTTCTTTCAAACTGTTCCCCATTTCATTAAAGGCCCGCGTCATACGTAAGAACGTCTCCGCAACCGGAGAGAGCGCTCCAAGGCTGTTCTTCGGCAGAAGAGCAATGTCGTGCACAGACAAAGCTGAAGAGCAATCTCCCGTCAGCTTGTATACCTTTTTTGTTCCCCAGGAATTTCATCACCCAGTATAAGGTGGCGCTGAACAGCTTCGACGGCACGGTGTTGCCTTGTCGGATTTACCTCGCAACCGTTATGCTAATGGGGCAATTGGAGATCCGCGCCGTTATAGGTCTTGTAGCAGCGGCCGATGCCCTTGCCCCCTCTTGGTCGACGACCGCTGACGATAAGTACAGTCTCTACGCCGTCAAAAGCTTTCTCGTAGTCGACGAAGACTAGGACAAGATAGGCGATACCCTCGGCAACCCTTCTCGGCCATATGAATGTAACTCAGTTAAATTTTTGCGAAGTCCAGCTTATTCTTCAGATTGAGCTACATCCAGTATCCCCAAAATGCAAGTAAGAATAATTTTCGTAAACCCCTGTAAAGCCTTTTCAGCGGGCATATTGGATGGTGGTTCCAAGGATCTTCCCTATCACCCCTTTTGGACTGTTCAAGCTCTTTACTAGCATAGGATCCTTTACTTCTAAAAATAGGATGTTTGGTGCGCCGCAAGTCTTGGATAAGCGATGTTTTCCAGTTCGTAAGAAGTTTCTCTGGAAGAAGTTATGGAAGCGGGTCCGATCGCGGTGCCGCGCTGGCTTCACGGTTTGGACTGCAACGCGTACTTCAGCAGATAGAATCCGTGGCGGTGTTCCTCTAGTGAGGATAAGGGGTTTGAAACGGGTGCTTAGGAGCAGGAAAAACTGGTTCAGAATCTTTTTGTAAACGATTCTATCTTTCGTTGTAAGATGTACGAGTTCTGCCACACTATATCAACAGCGGAATATTGTACAATTCTCGGCAGTACTTCTTTAGTCTTTCCCTTCCTTGCGCTACTTTCAATTTCGATTGCTTGTACTTTCGAAGATCTTCTTGCAAAGCTGTTCTACAATTGGCTAGCTCAAGACATAGTGAAGTCGGATCTAGCCTCAGCGCTTTCTTTCTCCTAAGCCGATCCTTGGCGGCTTTTGAACTGCGTTCAAAGTTCCTTATCTCGGGTATTGAGGCGTCTATACGTATAGATTGCTAGAAGTTTGGAAATGCGGAAGGAAATAATTTGTGATAGAATTAGTTGTTGTTTAGATAGCTGACTTGGATAAAATGAAGGAGGAGCAATGTCAACTGATAGACAGTCTTAAGTGCAAAGTCGACCAGTTAGAAGCAGAAAAACTTGATTTATCTATGGAAAGGGGAAGGTGTTTTTCACGCTTGAATTACAACTGCCTGAGTTCATGCATCTGTTCCAGATTCAAAGCATTGGTTGAAGAACTGAGAGAAGCGAAATGTTTGGCCGACACGAGAGTTGAAGAATTAGAAGAACAGGAGAGCGAACTTCTTGGGAAGGTTTGAGTACATTGGAATTAAGAAGTTCAGCAGACTAGAATTATTGAGGTGTTTAAGATCAAAGGCTTGTCGGAAACAAAAGAACGCATTAGTGAAGCCATGGATTCTTTGACTAA